GTCGTGGGTGAAACTGCATCCTCATGCCCCTCCCCTAGATGCCGCCTATGTATAGCATAAATACTACCTACTTTATCTTAGGTCGAATAATATCCGTTAGTTACCTTATCGTTGGTCGGACGACTGGTAGAATTACTTACACATTGTTATTTGTTATACAGTAAGATAGAACAGAAAAATTGTATTAGTACGTCGTGTGTTGCGTAAATGTGTGGACTTTTATACGTAATAATTTGAATGGTTTGAATAACAGTGTCCAGTATGCCGAGAGTTCAAAGTGAAAGTGCCAAGTTACGYCTAATTAAACTAATATTTAATGCAATAATATGAGCTAATAATAAGTAATAATAATAAATTATGAATTATAATAAATAATAATAAAAATTTGTTTTTACATATTTTGGTAAATAAAATGCATATTTTACAATTTTTTATTGCATATAAATCCTAGCCCTAATTATTATGGTTTCACAGTAATATCATCGATCGCCGAGCCCGTACTCGGATGGATAGATAACGTTAATGGACCGGTCGGCCTCATGTTGGCGTGTGGTAAAGGCATAGCGCATGTCATGCTGGCTCATAAAGACTCCACTCCGGACTTTATGCCCGTCGATGTGTCGATAAAAGCGATGATCGTGGCTGCTTATCATCGTGGGACACACAAGTATGTTTTCGTCAATTGACTAATAATAATAACAACGATAACCTCCKCTAAACGCAAAATGTCGAGCAGTCGCAGTATACCGTGATCCGAGGCGTGGTTGCTCAGTTGGTTTGCTGTCGCTTTACTATACTGAGAACCTTACCGATAATTCATATTAATCGGTGTCCGGTGACAGCACGAATAATTTTTATTCGTGAAACTGAAAACATTTTTCAACCCACCTACCCCCGAAGTACGCAGATATTGAAATTTAGTTACCTACACCCAATAGTCACTTAGTGATAGCTGACAACTTTCCACCGCCCAGTAAGGCAGTACCCATCCACCCACGCGCTCACCCATCAATTTTTTTTTATCCACGACAGTTTGTTCCGAAAATGTCCAGTCATACACTCGTGCACTCAAGCACCATACTATTAATTGAAGGGTATCGTTGACAGTATCATACTATCATTGTGTTCAAAAACGTATGTGTTTTTAATTTTTAGGCTAAAATGCACTTTACCAACCCTCTCAYGTTTCTCAATTTTTTTTTTTTTAAACGATTTGTTTTTATGCTTAAAACGATGGTTTAAACATTTTTTACTGGATACTATTGTTTTAGAAGTTATAACCTTCCAAAGTTTGTAATTTTACGTTTATACGCATGCGCTCAACACTATATTTTATAGCCGGCCAGAGAAGTAACCCGTTTAGTAAACTTAGGTAGGTTTATTTATTCAATATTTTAGCCACGGGGGTGGTTAGTAGATGAGTCCGACTTCAACGAGAGGTCTGGAGGACTTTGAGTATGGTGACTGGGACCATAGGCGAAGTCAAATCTCCTTGATTTTGGCGAACGGAGCTACATTATTTGTGTTACTTTAACCAATAAAGGTAAGTTCACTTATTAGGTTTTCCGTCTGCCCGAAGGGCAGAGATGCTCTTGCTCCCCGTCTCCATAGGTTTGCTATTATAGCCCCGGTGGATTTGGGGGCCGAGCAAGGTTACAATATTATGAAACAACTTAATATAGTGTTATAGATTATTCTGTAAAAATCAAAACAAAAAAAATCATACACTTTGCGTGGCGCGCCCATACGTATATGTCGTATATACTTATGTAAAATCACAAACTTCTTAAATAATGATGACAAAAAAAAAAAAAAAATTAATTAAAATTAAGGAAGAGTGAATGTTGTGATTATTACAGATTAAAAAATACATAAAACAATAAATAAAAAACGAAACGAAAAAATAATTATGTTAGCAATTTTATGTAGGTATAATTCATACGCAAGCTGTGAGAAAATTTTCTATTTGTATAGTTATTGAAAATATTAACTAAGTTGATTATATTTAATATAATATTGATCTAAAAAAATATTACAAAACATAAATGTTAAAATAATAAATTTGAACAATCAAAATACACAACTATTATTAAAATCGAATAACCATATAAAAATTAACAGTTGCACTTTTATGGCTATAAGGATATAGTGCAGGGATCGAAACCGATTAAAACCGTGATTTTTTTAATACTGAAAACTGGAACCACAACCGAAGCCAAAAGCCTTAAACACCGGTTAAAAAACCGTAACTGAAACCCAATATCTTTAAAAAAACTGTTTACAAAACCCAAACCGAAACCATAGAATTGAAAAACCACTCTTGATCTGTTCTTGAAAAACCGATTAAAATTTAAAACTAATGTAGGTTTCTTCAAATCTTATAAAGTTAATAAATTATACTATTCATAATTTTAGTTAAAACAAGTATTTTCATATAAAGAAAACAATATAATGTCCGAATTAATTAATAAAAATCCCGATGCTATTATAGGTACTCAGTATTAAGAAATATTAATTTGCTATACAAATATTGTTCTATTCATATTTTATATTATTACTATACTTATTGGTTCAAAAATTCAAAATCTAGATACAAATATCGCAATATTATTGTTATCTTTTTTGCCCTTATGCAGCTTTGCATGTCTGTATTGTTCCCATTTGTTAGTAATAGGCAATAGCATATGAATTATGAGTTATGATAGAAATAGTATTAAATACAATTTTGTGTTTGTAAATGTCCAAAAGGAATGAAGGAGGTTGAATTTAAACTCATTAATTCATACATTACATGAGACCATTTTAAAGTAGATATAGTAAACATTTTAAGTTTAAATCTTGCAATTTTATAGTGACACCTATGAAAACCAGACAAAAGGCATAATGTAACAACTAACAAATAGTAACTAACTTCATAATATATAATAATATAAAATGGTACTTATGTAAATGTATTCCCATTTCCTCGAACGTCCCATTTTCTGATGTGTTCTAAGGTTCTAACTATTGCAACACAGCTGGTACTAAAATAATGATATATAATAATATAATATTTTATTTATAATGTTATTATTTATTGCCTATTAAGTAAATATAAATTGTAAAAATGTAAATTTCTAACAATTTCTTGGCTTAAAATAGTGCGTGTCCTTACTGTCCTTAATAGTTAATACATAATAAAAATTGGGTCTACAACTATTAGATTCAGGAAAATAAAATAAAAATTTGAAAAAACCGTTCCAAAAACCAAAACCAAAAATTTTCAAAACAGATCTTAAAATCTAAACCAAAACCAGAAAATCTAGAAAACTGTTCTCAATAACCGAAACCGTAACCGTTAACATTCGAAATGGTTTCGATCCCTGATATAGTGCTTGGGTAATTTTTGAATTTTGTGAATATTTTATTTTGAACCTTCACCTATAAGTTGCAATGTGCTATATATTATGCCTGGATTATAAAATTTAAATCCTTTATAGCAACTAAAACAATTGTTTTCATGTATTATATTTATAACTTCCGACTTTTTTACACCGATAAATAATACTAAGAAACCAAGGCATCATTTGGGGAAGAAAAAAAAACAAATAACCAATGTAATTCTTGTAAATTTGTAATCTAATTAAAGTTCTTAAATTTAATTAGCAAAAAATAATGTCAAAAAAAATCTATATTTTATAGTAAAAATATGAAGCTAAATCTAAACTTAATCTAAAAACCAAAATGTTATTGTATAATACAATGATCAGACCTGTCTGGGGTCGTTTGGTATTTAAATATGGGGGATGGCCAAACCCTCAAACATTCGCCCCATCCAATCTTTCCAAAACA